TTTCAGCTCTGCCTGGTACTTTACCTCAGCCAAGAGTGTGTCCAGCACCTCAGCAAGGTCCCTGATTCACACTGAGCTCATGCAGTCTGCGACTGTGTCCCAGTCGTCATCTTGGATCCCTGGAGGTACTTAACAATATAACCTAGAAAGAAAAAAATGCGTAGGAGTTTGGAAAGAAAGAATTAACCTGTGCTTATTTCAAAATAATAATAATAATTGTGCCTTTTATTGATTTTTTATAATAGGCCTAATTAATCTTTAAAAATAATTCATCTAAATTAATTCCATTCTGTAGATGAGAAAAATTGTGGCTCCATAAGGCCATGTACCTTCTTTTAAGGTAAAAAAACCTCCATATTTATGGCTCAATTTTTGTTAGAAACTTATCTGCATTTATTCACTATCTGTTTCCATTGAGCTGTCTTTGTTTGCCTGTAGGCAAATATGTAGTAACTGGAATTTCTACTTGCTTGATTCATCTTCTCCTTGAGTAATTTCCAGATTGTTGAGAGTGACAGTTTGAGGTTATAGGGCACTAGGAGATACCTTTGGAAAAGTGAAACTGATTAGATTCAGTTTAAAATAGGATGGAACTACAAATGGACCTACAGGACTCACATAGTTATCTTCCATACGTTCACAAAATAATATTATCCAGCTTCGTTCTAAAACTTGGTGACCTTCTGAAGCCCCCACTCACTTTTCTCACATAGGCCTTGAGTATTATCTTTTGGCTTCAACTTTAACATCACTTCCTTAAGAAAGTCTTCCTTAAACATTGCACCTCCACCACAGTTTAGCCCACATCCCCATTACACAGGCAAATAGCATTGTGTCCTTTTCATAGTGTCCACCCCTCTTCCTAGGCAAGGGCTGTAGCATTAGTGCCATGTCCCCAGAACTTTTGTTTTTGTTGTTAGGGTCTTCCTAACTCTTCCTGAGCCACTCTGAAACTTGCAAACCTCTTGCCTGCTCCTGCTTAGTAGATGGGTTAACAGGTGTGCTCTATTATGTGTAACATCTTTTGTATTTTTATAGTTGAAATTTTGCATCACGAGGGCAGAGACACTATTTGGGCAGACTCTTTGGATTTAAATATCAGTTCTGTCACCTACTCACTTGTGGTATTGGGTAAATTAATTAAACTTACGGTGTTTCAGTCTCTTCACCTACAAAATCAGAATAATCATATCAATCACAAAAGGCATCACATGTAATGTGTTTAGTACAGAATCTGGCATATAATATTGGATAGTTACTGTCAATGTTATTAGCATACAACTCTACACTTGATACATTTTAGATGTTTAAAGAACATTTGTTAAGAAAAAAGATAACTCTTTCAGATTTTGATTCCAGGCTGATGATTATCCCAGCCCTATAGATAAATTCTCTTATTGTTGTGGGAAATGGTGAGGGAAACAAAGTCATCAAGACCACTTTACAGGAAGCAGGAATTTTATTATGCTAGCAAACTCTGGGGAGATAATTTCTCAATCCCTTAGCCCTGATCAGGAGCTCGGTTATATACTCTCTGGGAGAGTTAGGTAAACAGGGGGTCTTTTGCACTATATGGGTCAGTTACAGGAAAACAAGCTGGTTACAGAATTTGCACCCCCCCATTCTCCTATAGAATGTGGTTACAGTTACAGGAAACATTGCAGGGCTAGCTGGGAGTGTGCAATATTGCAAAGGCAGCAAAAAGCTGCTTGCAGACTCAATGTGGGGAAACCAAGGTAAATTCCAGACAGGCAGTAAATCCCAGAAAAATGGTCAAGTTGGCTCCAACATTATCAAAAGTTTATTCCCCAGTAGAGGGACAGAAGGGGAATGAGATAAGTGTTTTGTTGACATTTTGGCAAAGACTTCTAAAATTAATTGCCCTTTCCTTGAGGAAATAGCACAGAACAGTTATCTCTCATATAAAAGTCATGCATATATACTGTAAGAATTGAAGGGATAGAGATGCTGGGGCTGTGAGGATTTCTGGGCAAATCTAATCTCAAAGGCAGTGTTTCTCTCATATGCATTTGGAACTAGACTTGGGATTCTCCTGAAATTTGGACAGAAAGCAACCCCACTCCTAAGGACCAAAATCTGTGGCTCTGCACTGAGTACTAATGCTGTAAGCCAACACTTGCAAGAACTGGTTTCAGGAGAGTTCTCATCCAGGGTGTGTTTCATCATGTGCTGTTTTGTCATTGGACTTGTATTTTTTTAGCTTTAAAAATGATTGCCTAGTTCCCAGGGTCCATGTCAAGGGTATTGGACCAAGTTGTATGTGAAAACTCTAATATTTCTATGAGTCCCGTGAAAAAGGAAATGTGCCAGTGCTGCTGAAAACACCTCACTCTCTTCAAAATCCAAATTCCATTTAAACACAAAGTCAATGTATCCATCATCTTGGATAGTGAATTATCAGATACGTTCAGGCCATAGTGAGAATTGCTAGACACGCAGGATGGGGTAATCTTCGGTAATTGTGAGAGCGTGATTTCCTTCTATTTAATTTTACTTTAGGCTTTCCTTTTCCAGAAATGCTATTTTTTGTTTTGTTTTGTTTCTAAGCAGTAAATTCACATGACTATTACTCTGATTGTACATATATCGCACTGAAGAAAATTCTGATAAAGTTTAAGTAATATTGAGTCTCCAATGAATCAACTGAAGACAAATATGTAGTTTATAGCCCTCAATAAGGATCTGTGCAAAAATGAACCCTTTTTCTTTACAAGTTTGCAGTTCAGCCTATGCCATTTGTCAGTAATTTTCTCTGACGTTAATCCTAATGGTCATGACCAGCAAATGAGTTTGATCAAAACTTTGGATACAAGTGAAACACTTATTTGGAACATTATACTACATATACTTACAGATAAATTATCCCCAGGTGATTCTGTGTTCATCTTTTTTCCTTTTTATTTTGTTTCCTTTATTTGTTTCACTGTTACTTTTTCTTCTCCTTCTTTCTCTCTTCTATTACTCTGTTCTTATCCATTCTCTCTGCTCATATTGCACATATACCCTTTCTTACACTCTTTTTTAATTTTTTTGTCTTTGAATTTTGGCCAGCACTATAGATACAAAAATGAATCTACTAAGTACATATTTGAATACTGAAGTAGGATTAATATTTACCCCAAGTTCCACATTTGTTACTGCCATATGCCAACACACAGAAAATGTATTTCCTCCAAATTTGGCTCCAACAAGTGAATTAATGAAATAAATAGACAATAACTCCCACAAATAAAGCTGCAAAATGAACAGTAATTAAGTTTTTCTGTTAAAGATGCTTTCATTTTCTTTCTTCCTCATTGAATCTGATGACCTTTATTATTCTATTATTTAAAAAAATCTTTTCCTATTTCTGCATTTTTATTAGTGCATGTTAATAGTAGAAAGGGGTTTCATTATAATATTTCCATATGTATTTATAATGTACTTGGATCTAATTCACTCCTATTACTGTTTGTTATCAGCCTTATTTTCTCCCTCCACTTTAAACAGTTTTTAGTGGGGTTCATTGTGCTATTTCATGTATATATATGTACATATATAATGTGCTTCACATATATATATATATATATATATATTATTTATTTATTATTTTTACTTTGATCCTATTCACTCCCACAACATTCTTTCCCTTACTCCTCATCTCTTCTACTGGTTCCCCCAAATATTTTTTTTCCCTTTTTCTGTGTGGCACTGGGGATTGAACCCAGGGCTTCATGCATGCCAGCCAAATGTTGTACTACTTGAACCACACCCCTAGCCCCAATGACTTTTATTTTGGACATGTGTCCCCGTCATTCTTTCTCTCCTTACTTAGTCAGCTTACATTTCCAGATTATTTATTGCAGATGCTTACAGAAAAAAATTTAAAGTTTTCCTTGTTAATATTACCTTGAGAGCAGGAAAATCATATAGCCACAATAGTAGTAAGTTGAAAATGATTTTAACCTTCACAGCAATCCCAAGTATAATTTTCCTTAGATTAACAGATAAAACTGAACTATACAAATACTATATTGTTAATGATGGATAGATTCAAGACTACAAAATATGTCTCTGGATTTTGGGCCCGTTATCTCTCTGTGTTCTCTCTTTTGAGAAAAGATCTCCCTATGTAGTTCATGCCAGCCTGGAATTTGTTATGTAGTCCAGACTGACCTCAAATTCCTGATCCTCTGGCTTTCAACTCCCAAGTTCTGGGATTACGGTTGTGTGCTGCCACTTCTAGCCTGTTTTCTTACTGTTTAATGCACTTCTAATCCCCCTTCCTCTTTTATTTCTTTTACTTTCTTTCGCTGTAGCCTCTTATTCTTCTTTTCTTAGCTTTATAAATGTTTATGTTTTGACCAGCACTAGTAATGCAAAAGTAAATATGACTATAATTGTAGTAAGACAAGATTTTTGCCTTCAAGGACTCATAGTGATTAACACAGAGAGATGAGCATAAGACAATGTAGCAAATTCTGTAATGGACATTTAAGACTACCTTAGTATGGAAAGGTGTAACAGCACGATTTTAAGTACTTAGGAAGATGAGAAGTTTTCAGACAAAGTATAAAAAGGAATGGATGTCTCATAAAAGAATCTGTGTCCTTGAGTCTTTTTGTATAACTTAAATTTAGTCTATTATTTTCAAAACATTTGGTATAAGTTTATTTTTTGGTAAGTATGCCCACCTATTTTCAGATTAAATATATATATCTTATGTATCTTTAAATACTGCATATATGGCTACATCATGTGTTGCCTCTTGAAAGTCGATGCCTACGGTCATTCTTTTCTAATTTAAAAATGACATTATTTTACTGTAGAAAATTGAAAACTAAGCACAAAGAATAAAATAAGCACACCTTCACTGTTACATTGTTAAAGAAATAAAAGTTGTTTTTCTTGTTTTTCTTTTTGATTCTTATAAAGTGAATGTATCAAAATTAAGGATGAGTATGACTTTTCTTTTCAGGATGGTCAGCTGTCATGTGAAGTTAATTGATGGCAAAATGAATAATGTCACTGAGTTCATCCTTCTGGGTTTGACTGGAAATATGGAGCTCCAGAAACTTTCATTTGTTGTGTTTTTAATTGTCTACTTGGTTACTTTGGCAGGCAACCTTCTCATCATGATTACCATCAGCACCAGCAGGGCCCTAGGATCCCCCATGTACTTCTTCCTGTTTTACTTATCGCTTATAGATATCTGCTGTTCTTCATCCATGACTCCTAAAATGCTAGCTGATTCTCTTTCTGTGAGAAAAGCTATCTCCTTTAGTAAATGCATGACACAAGTCTTTGCTGAACATCTTTTTGGTGCTGCTGAGATTATCCTTCTCACAGTGATGGCTTATGACCGCTATGTGGCCATTTGTAAACCCCTGAAATACACCATCATCATAAACCAACAGGTGTGTAGCCTCCTTGTGGGAGTGGCCTGGGCTGGAGGTTTTATCCATGCAACCATTCAGATCCTTTTCACAGTCTGGCTGCCCTTCTGTGGCCCCAATGTCATAGACCACTTTATGTGTGACTTGAACCCTTTGGTGAAACTTGTTTGCATGGACACCCACACCCTGGGTCTCTTTGTTGCTGCCAACAGTGGATTAATCTGTCTGTTAAACTTTCTCCTCTTGATGGTGTCTTATATGGTCATCCTTGACACTCTGAAATCTCACAGCTTGGATGGGAAGTGTAAAGCTCTGTCTACCTGTGTTTCTCATGTCACTGTGGTCCTCTTATTCTTTGTGCCCTGCATATTTGTGTATCTGCGCCCAGTAACCACCTCTTCCATTGATAAAGCTGTGGCTGTGTTTTATACCATGATAACACCTATGTTAAATCCTCTAATCTACACCCTCAGAAATGTAGAGGTGAAAAACGCTATGAAAAAACTCTGGGTCAAAACTACTTCAAAGGAGAAATAATTGCAAAACATGAAATTACTTAATTCTTCAAATGCTAAAGAGAAAAGTCTATTATTTCTAAGATTTTATTCCATGTGAACAGTATATGTCAGAGAATGTTGTTGCTTGCATATTAAGCCCTTTAAGGAAAGGGTTGGGCATTAACTTGTTTATCATTATAAAAAATACCTCATTCAGTTTTATTTACTGCCCATTTGGCTGTCAGAATCCTTAGGGGTCTTGGTGAAGGACATAGCTCTAAAAAAATCTATGCAGCAGGACTGTTGTTGGACAGATATATCTACATTTTAAGTAAATTATTTAAATGTGTCTAAGAAAGTGGTCTATGCACATATTTCAAGCAATAATGGTGTAGGTTTTCATTGTATTTTGCCTATTAATGGATCATTGACTTTTTCATAGCAAAAACTATGAGAATCATGAACTCTCAATGCTTCAAAAATCATACAGTGCAAGAACACTACCTTTGCAATCGCAAAATAAAAGTGAATTATTTTGGGAAAATAGAAATGATTCTGCCTGGAAGCGAAGGGGGTGGGTAGGAGAGGGAGTGGGTGGGAGTAGGGGGGAGCAATGACCCAAACATGTGAATAAATGAATATAAATAAAAAAAGACATGATATGAATATTTTTGTTCATCTTATCTTTCTGTTCTTTTTTTTTTTCTTCAGTACTGGGGCTTGAACTCAGGGCCTATACCTGGACCCACTCCATGATATCTTTTTTTATGTGTGTATTGGTTTTTTAGATAGTGTCTCAAGGACTGCTTGCCCATGCTGGCTTTGAACTGCTATCTTCCTGATCTCTGCTGCCTGAGTAGCTAGGATTATAGACATGAGCCACTGGTGCTGTGCTCTTTCTGTTCTTTTTTGTTTTATGGCAGTTCTGGGATTTGAACTCAGGTTTTCTACTTTCTAGGCAGGCATTGACCATTTGTGACTCTAACCTTTTTGGCATTAGTTATTTTTCAGATAGGGTCTCACATTTTTGCCTGGAGCTGACCTTGTGAATTTGTGTGAACTTTGCCAAACCACACTTGTTTGAGTTAAAGAGTAATGATTGATATTTTCAGGATCAAATACATAATCCATGTAAAATTTTATTACCACTAAAAGCTCAATAGCTCTTAGCTATTACAAACATTCCTGATTACTGGAGTCTTGGTAACTATAATAGAATCATCCTTTTTAAATTAAGAAAGGATGTTCTTTCTGTGATGAATAATACTCTGAGCTGACTGGTATTACAGGAATTTGAGAGGCTGTAGTACATTTTAATGTATTTGGCAGTTTCTGAACTGCTCTCTCCTAGTTTCCTGACCTCCCTTGGCCCTATGTCCCTACCGGTGTGGTTGAACCATCAGCAGGTATGATTTTCTCCGGACAAGTCTTGCTTGAAGGATCAAAGTATGACTCTGTGTGAATCTGGGTCAACACAGCAGGCTTCCACAATATGCACAGACATGAATTAAAGGGACACATTTGTCTAAAGGAGGTTGTATTGTCCAGAGATAAGAGCAGATTTTGAAGGCGCAGTTCTTTTCTTTTCTGTCTTTTTTTGGGGGTAGGGGGTCATACTAGAGTTTGAACATAGGTTTTGCACTTGCTAGACAGTCATATTTCTTGTTTTTGAATGTAAGTCGAGAAAATGGTTTAACCTGTTCCACTGATGCAGAACTAAGCCTCAAAAACCAAATACCAGCACACAGACTCGCTCAGATGCTCCTGCTTGGTAGAACCAAAGTCTTTACCCAGTGTTGGGGGCAGAAAGAGATGTAATTCTTAGGATTTTAGTAAAATATACTCATACATTGGAAACTAACAAGATGTTCAGGATATATTTAAGAGGATTTTGGGCAGCCACACACTCCTGATTTTCACTATAGCTGGGGATGGGGTTTCATAAAAGGGTTATATTTATCCCATCACCATTTTTTTTATATAAGTTAAGGATATCCATGTTTCTGACCTACATAGAAATAAAGGACCCTGTGGAAGCTGGAGAGTTGCAAAATTATTGATGCCAGCGACAGTTCTTCAGATATTTATATATTTCCTACTAAATATCTGGTTTCTTAGTAATTGTGGTTGGTTCTGAAGTTAAGACAGGTTTCAGGTCTTATATGAAAGTATTTGATTAATCTTGATTTGTTTTTTAAATTATGGTGCAATATCATTCTTTTGCATGTGGATATCTGCTTTCATAGCACTATTTATTGAAGAGGGTAGCTTTCCCTTATTTTTATTCTGTGTTCCACTGCTGAAGATTAATTGATGATGTAAATGTGGGCTTATTTCTAGGCTTTATGATTCTGTTCCATTTGTCTAGGTGCCAGTGCAACATTATTTTTAATATTATAGCTTTATGATATAATTTTTAGTTCAGAAGTGTGATGTCTCTAACTTTGTTTTTCTTCCTAAGGTAATTTTACTAGTGTTGACATCATGACCACACAGCCACTGATATGACTTTAAATAACTTAAAAATTATTCAGTTTTCTCAGCTTCTATGTGAATTTTTGAAGTTATTTTTTAATTTCTGTGTAAAATGACATGGGGAATTTGATAGTGATTGTGTTAAATCTTCATATCACATTGAGTAGTATTCACATTTTATTTATTTGTATATTTATTTATGGTACTGGGATTTGAACTCAGGGCCTATACCTTGAGTCAGTCCACCACTGCCCTTTTTGTAAAGGGTATTTTCCAGATAGGGTCTCACAAACTATTTGCCTGGGCTGGCTTAGAACCATGATCCTCCTGACCTCTGTTTCTGGAGTTGCTAGGATTATAGGCATGAGCCACCAGAATTATTCTTTCAATCCATATACGTGGGATATCATTTCATTTGTTGGCATATATTCACACTACCCTGAAGACACCTTATATTTTCTGATATCGTAAGAAAAGCAGAGTCCGTCATGGTTATTCCCGTCATTTAAAAAAGTCAGGGAGAGGGTTACGGGAGAATGAGGGAGAGGGTGAATTCAACTATGATAATATTGTAAGATTTTGTAAATGTCACAATATACCCCCAGCACAACAATAAAAAAATTAAAACGTCAAAGTGTATGTTGGATATTACTGTGTATCAAGCATGATGTAAATAGTTTGTACACATTATACATACAAAATATTGCACTACATATTATTCTCTTCATTTCCTAGAAAACTGAGGCTTATATATATTTGAAATAACTTTCTCAATTTTTTTTCATTTTTCTTTTATTATTCATATGTGCATACAAGGCTTGGTTCATTTCTCCCCCCTGCCCCCACGCCCTCCCTTACCACCCACTCCACCCCCTCCCTCTCCCCCAACTCAATATCCAGCAGAAACTATTTTGCCCTTATTTCTAATTTTGTTGTAGAGAGAGTATAAGCAATAGTAGGAAGGAACAAGGGTTTTTGCTGGTTGAGATAAGGATAGCTATACAGGGCATTGACTCACATTGATTTCCTGTGCGTGTGTGTTACCTTCTAGGTTAATTCTTTTTGATCTAACCTTTTCTCTAGTACCTGTTCCCCTTTTCCTATTGGCCTCAGTTGCTTTAAGGTATCTGCTTTAGTTTCTCTGTGTTAAGGGCAACAAATGCTAGCTAGTTTTTTAGGTGTCTTACCTATCCTCACCCCTCCCTTGTGTGCTCTCGCTTTTATCATGTGCTCATAGTCCAATCCCCTTGTTGTGTTTGCCCTTGATCTAATGTCCACATATGAGGGAGAACATACGATTTTTGGTCTTTTGGGCCAGGCTAACCTCACTCAGAATGATGTTCTCCAATTCCATCCATTTACCAGCGAATGATAACATTTCGTTCTTCTTCATGGCTGCATAAAATTCCATTGTGTATAGATACCACATTTTCTTAATCCATTCGTCAGTGTGGGGCATCTTGGCTGTTTCCATAACTTGGCTATTGTGAATAGTGCGCAATAAACATGGGTGTGCAGGTGCCTCTGGAGTAACAGTCTTTTGGGTATATCCCAAGAGTGGTATTGCTGGATCAAATGGTAGATCGATGTCCAGCTTTTTAAGTAGCCTCCAAATTTTTTTCCAGAGTGGTTGTACTAGTCTACATTCCCACCAACAGTGTAAGAGGGTTCCTTTTTCCCCGCATCCTCGCCAACACCTGTTGTTGGTGGTGTTGCTGATGATGGCTATTCTAACAGGGGTGAGGTGGAATCTTAGTGTGGTTTTAATTTGCATTTCCTTTATTGCTAGAGATGGTGAGCATTTTTTCATGTGTTTTCTGGCCATTTGAATTTCTTCTTTTGAGAAAGTTCTGTTTAGTTCACTTGCCCATTTCTTTATTGGTTCATTAGTTTTGGGAGAATTTAGTTTTTTAAGTTCCCTGTATATTCTGGTTATCAGTCCTTTGTCTGATGTATATTGGCAAATATTTTCTCCCACTCTGTGGGTGTTCTCTTCAGTTTAGAGACCATTTCTTTTGATGAACAGAAGCTTTTTAGTTTTATGAGGTCCCATTTATCTATGCTATCTCTTAGTTGCTGTGCTGCTGGGGTTTCATTGAGAAAGTTCTTACCTATACCTACTAACTCCAGAGTATTTCCTACTCTTTCTGTATCAACTTAAGAGTTTGGGGTCTGATATTAAGATCCTTGATCCATTTTGAGTTAATCTTGGTATAGGGTGATATACATGGATCTAGTTTCAGTTTTTTGCAGACTGCTAACCAGTTTTCCCAGCAGTTTTTGTTGAAGAGGCTGCTATTTCTCCATCGTATATTTTTAGCTCCTTTGTCAAAGATAAGTTGCTTATAGTTGTGTGGCTTCATATCTGGATCCTCTATTCTGTTCCACTGGTCTTCATGTCTGTTTTTGTGCCAGTACCATGCTGTTTTTTGTTATTGCTTTGTAATATAGTTTGAAGTCAGGTATTGTGATACCTCCTGCATTGTTCTTTTGACTGAGTATTGCCTTGGCTATTCGTGGCCTCTTGTGTTTCCATATAAATTTACAGTAGATTTTTCAATCTCT